GGAGACTGAGGGAAGAGAAGGATGCTTAAACCAGTTAGCTAGGTTGTGCCTTGTGTGTAGTGATGCATTGCAGCTCTTTAGCTGTGCAGAGTTACAGGTGTGCATTTAAAGTTGGAGGGGCAGTTTTAGGCAGCAGTCTCTCATTACCCTTGGTGGAGTAGCACTACAGTACCAGATTCAGGTCTTGAGTGTGAAGAAAGTTACGCTTTTTTTGTCCTGCTAAAAACATCGTTTCATCAAGATGCTGTACTGAAACCACTGTTTATCTCTCCCAGAGTCTATGTGCTTCTTGGGCTTATCATCCAACTGGTGATGCCCAATTTCTGCTGACTGACCAGCTGGTGTTGTTGCAGATGTTTCTACGTAACAGTCTGTGACTGACTCTGCTACTTTGGATAGCATTTGTTCTGGCATTGCTTACTAGTGCTGTGGTTTTTTTATTATTTCTGAAGTTATCTGTAAGATTCAACAGTCTTATGAAATCAGATGTGCTTGTGAACTCTACAAGCCCTCTGTTCTTTGTGTGGATGGGATTTTTTTCTCTTCTTGGACTAAACCTTGAGTAAGTCTTTCACCATATCCTGTAACTGATTTAGTGCCTCGTTATCAGACTTGCTGCTGTCTTCTTTCTAACTCCCCTCTCCTTGTCTGTTCTTGCTAACCATTGTTGTAAGTGCTCTTTCATCCATCAGAGACCCTTGACATGGGAGCAGTCATCAGGTGACCCTGAGCGTGTGTGGTGTTGACAGGCACTGATTTCCTGTGTCTGTAAGAATCCCTGTGTTAAGTGTGTTGGGCTGGGAAGGAAATACGGTTTGGACTGCCGCTTCTGAGTGACTGAATCATTTAATGGAAATAATCTACCTCATCTTCTGGTAAATAGAGTGAGATCAGGTATCTTGGCAACTACTGGGCTCTTTTGTAGTTTGGCCGTCTTTTGGAAGACCCTGTATTTCTGTTGTGCAAATTCCCTCTTGCTGTGACTTGAGACTCTCTGTGATGCGTGCGTTTGTCTAGCCGGCTGCACTAGACATGTCACTGCTTCCCTGACAAGAGCAAAAACAAAGGTTCTGTGATATTTTTGAAGAAAAGGTTAACTGGATGAATACTTTTCTTTTTAATTCCCCATTTCTTATCATGGATAGTAACTTTTTGGGAATCCTTTATCCTCCAGCATCTATTTATGATTATATTTTTCACCCTCTCATGTCAACAGGTTACACAGGTATGAGCAGCCTATGTGGGCTTTGCTCAACTGCTTGGTTGAAGCTGACCTTGTGGTAGTAATTGAGATGTTAGATGGTGTGTCGTGATCAGCAGCCCGTGGAACAAACAGGATCTCCTTTTCATGGGAAGATGTCCAACAGAGGACTGCCCAGTGCTTGGGTTCCTGTTACCCAGTCTTGGAACTGGCCACTTGTGAACCTGTGTCCTGCCTTCAGGTGAAGGGCACTCACATAGGACATCTTTAAACCAAAGAGGGCTCTATACTGTCTGGAAGGTGGAGTTATCAGATGGTATCTTATGTTTGTGTATCTTTATGATGTATGTTAGCACAATGTGGATCATAGTTACAAAGCAAAGTGGAGAGGAAGTCAATAAACTTTTAAAATATATTTATCTCCTTGATATGAACTAAAGGTGGTGGAGTTATTTATGAATGTATGCTATTTCATGGGCTGTCTGAATGGTTTTGGAAAAAGCAGTTCTTGGTTTTTAAGCTGACAGTCCCTGCTAGTTAGCACTGTGTTGGAGAGCAGGGCATTTTAACTTGTGTGTCAGCAGAGTGGACCATGACATCAGAGCTGCCAGTTGCAGTATCCTTGCTGGTCAGGAAGTCTCCTGTGGCCCTGCAGGGAGGGTAGGTAAGCAAAACGTTAGGGTGAAAGGGCACTAGGAGCTCTTCCTCTTCTGCTGCTGAATGTTGCTTTTGTTTCTTCCCATCAGCATTGGTATGAAGTAGATGTGAGCTGGAATTGAAAGTCACAAGAGTTTTGGTATATTCAGATGTTTCTTAATCCTTTTTGACTCCTCTCATTGCTACACCCTCCCACACTTTAAGCCTAATCTTGTGAGCTATTCCTAATTATTCCTTTGCAGGGTGGTGGCACCCACTGTCATCTTTCCCAATAGCTTTTCTGGGTTTTGCTCTTCTACTGTTAGTCCCTGAGCTTTGTTACCTCAGCCGATGAAATCCCAGGCAGATTTTGTTCCAGCATTGCTCTGGGCCATAGTGAGGAAGCAGGTCCCTTGTTAAGTTAATGAGCTGCGTCCCGCCTCCAAGGCTGCCTTTTGCTGTGCAGCACTAAGGTGATGTATAGCATCAGTATTTATGATCTGTCTCTTTCCTCCTATTATGGTTCTTCACCTAAGGATGCAAATAGTGTTTTACAGTCCTTGAAGGCTCTTTCTGCTGCCCCTGCCAGTCTCTGCCAGCTGAATTGCTACTTCCTTCCCTTTTCATAATGCATCTGACAAAATTGCCTTCCTCAGGACAAAGAAACAGCAACCAATCAGCTCTTCTACCTGCAGACGTGTTTGCTGTTCTCTCTTCATAGCCACTGCTCTCAGCCTGCTGGTGGCTGTGCTCCTCCGCGATTTCATTCGTGCTGCTCTTCTCTTTGCTTGCTGTTTCTTGCAACACTCCAATGATCTTTCAGGTGCCAGAGAAAGGAGAATGTTTTTCTGTGCACACAGAGTGTCACCAGACATGACCTTGAAGTTTCTCCTTTTGTTCCAGCTTCATAAGGTCCTTTCACAGACTTTTGCCTGTGTTCTGGGCCTCAGCTCTTGTTCATGAGCCTGTCTCCTGCATTCACCTCAAATAGTCTTGTGCAGCGGAGTGAAAACTGCCTTGCCCTGGGAATCCAAGTGTCTGTTTCAGCCACTTCCCATCTTGTTTCCAGTCTTGAATGGAAATCTTTTCTCCTAGGAAATACCCTTCTTGCTTGTGTTTTTGTAAAGCCACCTCTGCTGGTTCCCCTGAGTGCTCCAGGGGCAAGTTTTCTTGTAAACAAAGTTGTATTGCATTGAAGTTATTACAAAGCCAACTAAAACTGCTTACTTGGATTTGGTTTTTTTTTTTTTTTTTTTTTGTTTTTTGTTTTTTGTTTTTTGTTTTTAGTGAATGATTTGAGGAACATAGTTCTTAAAGGTGATGTGTGTCTGTTTTCATGCTGTAGGAACAGCGTGCTGTGCCTAAAACACCTGCTGTACTGGTACTCTTGACTGTACTTGCTTGTTTGCAGCATTATGCTGTGTGGAGTGCTCCTTCCAAACCCATGTGGTTAGATGCAGTAGGAATGCTAAGGAAAAGAAATTGGTCAGGGGACCAGCCCAGAGAGCTTGTAAATAAAGACAGGAAAAACACGGGACAGTACAGGCAGAAAGAATAAGGAAAGAATTAAATCCTTTTAGGAAAGGGACTGCCAGTGGTCTCTGCACGTCTGTGCTACTCTCAATTTTGAGTTTGTCTGTGTTTGCGTGCAGGTGGAAGGGTGCCTTAGCAAAGGAGATTTACAAGGAGGGTTAGAGGAGAGCACTGAGAACATTTGCAAAACCTGTTCCATATGAGGTGGGAGCATGTGCCGCGTGCTAGTTTGAAACATTCCCAAAATGGTGATGGTAGCTGACGTCATGTGCCAGTAAGAGGCGCAAACTGCCCTCTTGATACTGGCAGAGAGAAAATCATGATGTTGGGAAAAGTCAAGACAGGTCACCTGTATCTTCTGTGGAAGAGAATGGAAGACAGGAGGGAGGCAAAGGTACTATTAAAGTGACAGAGCAGGGTAATGAGCTTTTTCTTGTAGGGATGAGAACAGTAGCGTCACTTTGGTCAATACTCAATTACAAGGTGTTGCAGTGAATGAGATCCAGTCTAGTCTCAGCTAGTTGCTTTAGTTGGGTGAATCAATAGGGAAGGACTGTAGATGGTCACATGAAAAAGACAGCTTGTCCTAGTCAAGGTGTGAAGGTTTAGGAATTGAGTCAAATAGGATTGCTAGCTTGTGACTTTGATTGGCAGCGAAAATAGTGAAGTTTTCCAGCAGGGGAGAAAGGCAAAAAGTAGGGGGTAGGTAGTAATACGAAGTTAAGGGCTTAGTTTCTCCTCTTAGGTTAGAAGTAGTGCCTAGGTACCCCAGAAATGCCAAAGAACTTGAGATTTTTATTCAGACAGGAGGAAATGGCACTGTGTTGACTGCCTAGATACAATAGTTATTGCCCATGTGTAACATGGGAAGGAGGACAGAGCCACAGAGATTCCAGAATACCAGGGAAAAGTGGCACATCATGGGGGCAGCCCTGGTCCTGCAGGTTATAGGTGACAAGGAAAGGGAAAAGATGATGGTTAATTTAGGCAATAGGGGTGATAGGTAAGGAAGCTGAAGGAGGCTGAAATTTTGAGAAGAGGAATGTGATCAGGTGTGTCAGTGATAACAAACGTGTCAGGAAAAAAGACAAGAAACTGGCTCTGAATTTTGGGTAAGGATTTGGGGTGTAAGTCAGAAGGAAGTGAGGAAAAGGAAATAAAGGCAGGGAACTTCATGGAGCTTTACAGGTGAAAGGCAGAAGGATGATCAACGGCACTGACATGCAGGTGGGGTTGGAAGTAAATTTTTGGGTTGGAGGCTTGTTTAGAGATTCTGGGTTTGTTTGGGGAAATCAGAATGAATGGGGAGAGATCACAAAATGTGAGCATGGAAGAAAGAGTAGGCAGATGCGAAAGGAGGATACTGAAGTGTTAGAACAGGAGGTCAAAGATATTTAGAGTTTGTTTTGACGCTGGGGAGGGGTGGGTGTACGTGAAGGACACCCATCTGTTCCTTTGAGATAACGGAAGGAAATAGGTCACTAAGTGAGCACACAAAGTGAAGGGCATGGGGAATTAATAGACTGATTGGGTTGAGGGAGAACTTGGCTGTGTGCATGGGTTTGATTTGTGAAGTGTCATGTTTGCTGCATGCTCTGTAAATCTCCATTTCTTGATTATGTTTTTGCAGTGCGGCTCCATGACAGTATTTCAGAAGAAGGTTTCCATTACCTCGTCTTTGATCTGTAAGTGTCTTTCTTTGGCTTTGATGCTTCACCAGTGATACAGGCATGTGGATGGTTGACTAAGAGTGGAATAAAAAGCACCTGCATTAGTATAATTCTTCCTTTTTTTTTTTTTTTTTTTGAGACCTGTAGATACTTCTGGCCTATTTGACAAAAATCCATTGACTGTGTGGTAGGAGGTGGACCAGGAAGGCTCCTGCCAGCAGGTGTAAGCGTAGAATGGCAAAGGCTGGCTATATATATGGAGGCTGTTTGACTTTTGTCTCTGAGGCAGCTTGGAGGGGGTCAGAGGAGGGATGTTCTGCCCAAGCTTAGTATCTACTAAGCTCTTCAGAGCGGCATGAGTAATTGATGCCCGGCGTGTCAACAGTGTCCTGTACACTGCTGATGCAGTGGTGGTGGAACTCTGCCCTGGCTCCCCTGTGCCACAGTTCTCCACACAGGCTGCAGGGAAGGGCCCAGACAGATGGCCACGTATGTCCCGTGCAGCCTTGAGCTAGATGTGCATGGACTATGTAACCTCCCTTGTTCTTTTGCACTCCAGGGTTACTGGTGGGGAGCTCTTTGAGGATATTGTTGCCAGAGAATACTACAGCGAAGCAGATGCCAGGTAAGACGTGTTTCCAGACCGTTCTGTTTATGTGCCACATGTGTTGGCAAGTGGAGTGAGTTTCCTGACTGCTACTCTGTGCACGGCTTTGTTCTGACGCTCTCGCTCCCTGTCTGGAAAAAACAATTCCTCTTTCTGCTATTAGCATAAACTATTGTCACCGGTCAGCCTGACTCACCACAGCTCTAGCCCTTGCTGCTTGCAGATGCTGCTGTCTGTGTGCTCTTTGCTGGGAGACCCGTTGCTAGTGGCTTTGTCTGCCAGACCTTTCTGGTGGGTGGTGACAGGGTGTCCTTAGTGAGCAAGCATAGGGGAGAGCTGTCCTGCGGCTGTGAGAGTGCTGCCTGCTTGGCCTCTGCTTTCTCCTGGTAGGGGTTCCAGTGATGTGCCATTGCTGTTGGGCAGACCCGTTCAGTTTCCCCGTCTCTAGGTAATAGTTTACAGGGCAGGGGAGAGAGGGAGCTTTGAAGGCTATGTTTCTGTGGAAGCCCTCTCTGACTCTGAGCTGGTTGGTGGAGTGAGACAAGGCACAATATGTGAGAGCAGCCTTTATATTTTAATATTAAAAATACAGAGTTATGCCCTTCTTTTTCTGAATGTGTCCCCTCTCTCCCATGTGTGACTTCCTGAAATGGCCTCTGTTTGTCCCTTTGTGGTTTATGCAGGGTGGGTGTTTAGTGCAGCAGTAGCTGAGGATATTCTCTGACCCCTCCATCTGCTGGACACGTAGCATTTGGAGTCAAAAGTTGGGAGCGGGCAGCTCCTGTTCTGCTTTAGCAGGGCCTGGGAGTGGCCCAATGGTGACATTTTACCTCTGTTTATTCTGCACCTGTGTTCTTATCCCATCCTAACCCTTGCTGGAGCAGGAATTAGGGGAGCCATGAGAGGAGAGGAGTAAGAAGGGAGTACTGGGTGCTGCTGCAGGGTGAGCTTGGTAGGCAGAACTATGTGGAAGATCATACTAAGTGCAAGGAAAGGAAGAGTATGATGTAGCGTGTTAGTGTAGGTACTGTTGTGAAGTCTGTGGGTGCTTATTTGCTTTCCCTGTGGTATGCTTACTGCCTCTGTCTTCTGGGTATTGCACAATGCTTTCAAATGAGGCATTGCACCGTGCACTCTACCATGAGCCATCTACTGATGGAGAAGGCTAGTTAGCTTGTCATCTCTGATGGAGCTCCTTGCATAGAGGTCTGAGAGCCCTGTAGATGTTTTCAGTGGGATGTACAGATGTTGTAGGCACAGCATCTTGGACAGATAAACAGTGACTCAAGCCGTTCTGCCTTGAAGTTGGGAAGCTTTGAGGCTATCGATCATCATCCTTCCCCCTGTCCCTCTTGCCAGTGCCTGTTCCTTGAAATGGTCGGGAGCTGGTTATCTCAGACTGCTTAGGAATGTTATGGCAGGGTTAGGGAGAAAGGAGAACTGTCCATTGCTCTGCGAGCCTTCCTCAGGGTGCTTAGCCCTCTGACTGTCAGTTGGCCAGGTCTCACAGTGCCCACAAGATGACAGAGTGAAACTCCTCCCTTTCTCTCCCCAGGCCGAGCTGAATTCCAGAGCAGGCTGGGAGAGCAAGGGAGCGAGGTCCGTGCCAATCCGCCGCGCTTGGCTCGCCTGGGACACCTCACACTTTTGCCATTTTTGGCCAGAAAATCTCTCTCGCTCAGACTCAGCTCTGTTCTAATTATACATTTTTGTTTTGGGAGCTGGGAGATATTCATGGATTCCGACCCTGAGGATTGTACTGCCAGCTATGAAGGGGTGGGGGTAACAAATATACAGTGCTTCACCTCCTCTCCTCTTGCTCCCCTCACCCTCTTCCCATCTTTTCCAGTAGCCAACTTCCCTTCACTCAGATATTTCACTAATTTCAAATTAGTTCTCCAGAGATTTGTAGAATTTGGTGAGGGAACTGACTGATCCTGCAGTGAGGACACAAGACACATCAGAGTTGCCCACATCTGGGTGCTTACTGCCCAGCCTTAGCTGTCAAAACCCCTATTCCATTCCACATACACACTTGGGAGCCGAATAAGTGTTTAGCAGAAGAGATATTCTCAACCAGAAATCTCAACCATGGGTGTGTTTTACTGTCTTTATGTGACAGGTGTAAATAACATCGTGCTTTTGCCCCTGTGGTTGCAGCAGTGAGAGTGGCAGAGACGTGGTTTTCTGTGAGCTGGGGGAGTGCAGCACACTGCACTTAACAGGGAATGAGTCTGCTTTTCAGATCACTAACCCCTTAAGTGGGATCTGTACTTAAAAGGCACCCAGCAAGCGGGTGCGTGCACACATTGTGTATGAAAAGTGCTTGAGATGCTGCTCTGAAAGCTTTGCAAACTGGCAGGTGCCCAGGAGTAGTCATCATGAATTTGTCAGGGGAGGCTGCTGCTCTCTAAAAGTTTATTCTTCACTCGGAACTAGCCCAGCTGAATGTTTCCTAGAGCAATTTGAGTCTTGCTTGCCCAGTCTTGGCTGCTCTCTGCAGATAGTCGTGTGCCTCAGTTCTCCTGTGTGGGGTGGACACTCCTGGCTGAAGGAACAAGTGAGATGCTTAGTGTGGTGGGGATGAAAGGGAGTAGGTGATGGGAGGTAGGAGGCTTTGTGGTCCCACTATAGACAGGATGTTTAGCATCCTGCTGCTGAAGGGGCTGGGGGTGTCCAGTTGTGGCATCCCGTGCGCATGATGAAGGAATTCAGCCTGGGGTCTTGAACTCTCCCTGGTACAAATAGTTCTGGGAAGAGATGAGATGCCAAGTGCGTGCGTGTGTGTGTGTGCATAACTCTGTGTGTCTCTCCCTTTATCTTGCAGCCACTGTATTCATCAGATACTGGAGAGTGTGAATCACATTCACCAGCATGATATCGTGCACAGGGACTTGAAGGTAATATTTCCTTGGTGCCACAGAGGCTGAGGAGAGCAGCCAGGGGATCAATGGAAGAAGCAAGACAGGAATACTGTGTTACCAACTGGCAGGGATTTTTTAACTTGAACTATAGGCTCAGGAGTTCCAGAAGCACAAATTTTCTCCTTCAGAGTTTTCTGGAGTGTGTCCTGAACTCCTGAGGAAGTTTTCAGTCTTTATGAACCTTGCCAGCTTTCAGCCTCTCCAAGGCAGCTCCAGGATGGAGTAGTTGTGAACTCTGGAATACAGTAGACTTTCAGAGAAACTTGTGTAGGATTCATTGTAATGAAGGACGCTTTCTAGTCTGCCATTGAAGAGATCTCTAGAGACCTGAGGCAGTCTCTGTTCAATCTGCCAGGATGAGTTTGTCTGCACAGAGCATGTATATTTTTATTCTGCACTGTTGCCAAACACATGCTATTGGGCTAGGGCAGAGATGCACAACAAGAATTTTTTGTGTCATTTCTTTCTTCTCTCATCACTAGAAGCACTTTTAATCTAAAACCAAAACTGCTGGGCAGTTAAATACTGGGTGAATCAGCCATTTGCCACATTATAACACATTTATGGAACCAGAGCCCCCACAGTGTAGTTGCTTAAACTCTCTTCCCACGCAGTGCCAGCTGTACTGGGAGCTGGGCAGGCTCCAGAATGAAGTGGTTTGTGCAGGAAGGTCTGCCTGCCTTGCAGCCCTCTCTGTCTAAAGTGGGAATGATGATGGCCACCAGTGGCCCAGTTAAATTAATGCAGAATGACACCTGCTACTATGGTTGGTTTGGGTTTGTTATACAATGCGTAAGGGGAAAAGTATAAAAATATTTTGCAGATAACAAAGTAAAAGCATGTTGCAAGCTTGGTGGCAGTGTCCCCCTGGTGTTTTGATCTCCTGGACAGCTGTTAACCCTTAGCGTTTCTGGCAAACTCCCATGCAACACTTGGCCTTCTGATTCAGAGCACTGTGAAGAGATGCAAGTGATCCAGTGTGGAATGGCTGTTCTGGATTAGAGCTGACACCCTCTCTTGAGAAGGAAGCCTCCAAGAGGGACTACTGCCCAAAATTAGGGCCTCTATGAAAATAAGTAGTGTTTTCCAGTACAGGATGGATTAAGTTTTCCTTCACATCCTGTGTTCAGATATAATCTGTTTTGCTTCCCACATTTTGTTTGTGTGAAAATCGTGAACTTGTTTAGAACTTATCAGCTGCTAGATAGTTCCCACTTGTAGTTAATCTGTTTCTTCTATTGCTTGCTCTGATTCACTGAAACTATACAGGCCTGAGGAGTAGCCATTCCTTTGAGCAATAAAAGATCCTGTGCTCTTTACTTAATATTTAGCTCCTTGCCAAAAGCTTGGCCTTCAGAATCAGTGTGTAATAACTGTGGAGCTTGCTTCAAGTCATTTGCGCCTCCCTCTCATAAGCCTGTCTTTTGGCTGACATGCTCTTACAGAACTTCAAATGTTGAGCTGCCCATAGGGGCTGTAAGAAATTGGGGAATGCATCCACATCCTTACCAAAAAGTATGTGAAACCTGAGGCAACCCATACATTGGCAGACATGCACATGGATAAGCACCATTAGCATTTGTATCTGTATTTTCAAAGCAAATAGTGCTTAGCTAGCACAAGCCTGGTGTAAATTCTACTGTTTCTTAATCAAACCAAGCCTAGGTGTGATCTGAAGTTTGGAGGGATTTTCAGAAGACTTTATTGGCCTTCTGCTTTAGTGACTTGTTTACACTGGTGAATTTGCATTAGTGTAGCTTGATTAACACATTTTTTTCTACTTCCCATATAGTGAAAAGGCAGTGGCCTCCAAATGTGTTTAGACCCAGTTCCCCTTCCTTCCAAGCTGCTTATGCCAAGGACTGTGATGGGGAAGGCTGTTCTCCCTTTGTTCAAAGCAGAGGCAAGGCACATGCCCTTCAAGGCAGGCGAATGAGCAAAACATCTTCCTGCCAGGCAGAACAGGGATAGAGGGTTGCCATGGGATGAAAGTGGTGAGCAGGCTGCAAAAAAGACCTTAATCAAATTTGTGAAACTGGGACAAGCTCCTGTTTCTGGATTTCCAGGCTTCCATCTTGCTCAGTTAAAAACTCAAGTTGATATGAATTGCACAGTTTATCAGAAGGGGGTGGGATGAGAAATCACATTTGTCCTACCTGTCTACAAGTTGGGTTTCCTGCAGAGCTGTAATAGCCACCACCTTAGGGGTTTCAAAGGGTCCCATGTAACTAGCTGTTCTGGTGCTTCGGAGAAAGCTGCTGACTCAGTACAGGTTTTCATAGAATCATAGAAAGTTGTGAGTTGGAAGCCTTCTGAAGTCCTCTGCTGGAACACCAACAGAATTATGATTCAAGTGAGAATCATGTGAGGGGCAAAAGTCTGTCTCCCTTCCCTGGCACATGGGGGAAGTGACATAGTTACTTGTTATAGGTGACAGCAGCAGTAGCAAGACAACATATTTTATGCCGCTGTAAATACGTAGCATGAAAAACCAGAATACTCACTGCTGTGCTGCTTATGCCAATTTGAGGCTGAGGCTTTTTCTGTAAGGGATGAAAGCTACTGCCTATCCAGATTATGCCTTCCCACATTACAGTGCAGTATTTGGCAGCCCTTATTAGCATCATATTTACTTTTCCAGTGCCCTGGGGACTGTGTAATGTTCATGGGGAGAAACATCACTGCGGATTGTATCTACTGCATCTCCCCCCCCGCCCCCAATTACTCTCTGCGGGGATGACAGAAACAAATTTTGGGTTCTGTGCTGCAGGAGCTGTACTGCCAGTGCCCTCTGGTGTCAGCGTGTAACACGTGGGCTGGGTTGGGAGAGGCTCTGGCTTCCACAGAGGATTTGTGTTAGACTTGAGGATTTTCTGCCACTCTAGGTCAAGGCCATTTGTTGCTGTTGCTCTGCCTTCACCTGAACAGCTTTAGTACATGCCTGCTAAATTTGGTCAGCGGATTAAATTTAATGATGTGAATACTGAGGTAGGAGGCTTTAACGAGGATGTCAGTCTTTCATTCTTACCCCCCTTTTTCTTTCTTCTCCCCAGCCTGAGAATTTGCTACTGGCAAGTAAATGTAAGGGTGCTGCTGTCAAACTGGCTGACTTCGGACTGGCTATAGAAGTCCAGGGAGAGCAGCAGGCCTGGTTTGGTAAGAGTGTTCAAGCTTTCCCACTTTCACTCCCTTCCTTTCTTGTTGGACAGTTGAGTTGCACCCTCCCTGAGTACTTTCAGCTCTTCCAGCAAACTACTGTGTATTTAGCATTGCTGTTTCCTTTCCAAGCATCTCAGCTTCTCAGTCCTTGGGCACAAGCCTAGGTGCAATATAGGAAAGAATATGATAAATAAAGACAGAAAAAATTGCTATGCATTTCTCTATTTTTCTTCTTAGTTTACAGTAGATACTAGTGTCAGAGATGAATGCAGCTGCTTAATTTAGACCCTGAGATGAACTTTCCTACTGCTCAGGAGTGTAGACATCTAGAATTTTGTTTGGTTATTTTACAGAAATGCACTTGACCTGGCCTTCCTCAGGCACATTTGGATCTGGCTTTATCTTTGTTTAGCTAAAACATAATTAGAAATGAGACCTTCTCAGGCTAAACTCAGGCTCTGAGACTCTGCAGTGCTGCAGAGATTTTGGAGAGATGGCTGCTTCTCCTGGTCTGCCCACACCATTTGGCAATTGGATGTGTCCCATCTTCTGTGTCTTGTACTTTCTAACTCCAAGGCATTATATGTAACAATGATATAAGGCCTGGCATGAGAGTTTGTGGCCACCTGGTTGACATGGTCCCCCTTTCTTTTATGTTTTTCCTGGAATACATAGACACTCAATCCCATCTGATTTTATTTATTTATTTATTGATTAGCATCTTCTTCTATTTCTGTTGGTTTACAAAGAGGTAGCTTTAGCAAATACGAGCTGAAGGGTGGGAAATGGATTTTGGAATTTATTGGTTACCACTAGTGGATTTTGTAATATGGCAAGATTTCTTCTGCTTGGGTACTGCAAGTACTTCATGTCATCCATTTCCTGGCAGGGTTTGCTGGTACTCCTGGCTACCTCTCCCCTGAAGTCTTAAGAAAAGATCCTTATGGAAAACCAGTGGATATATGGGCATGTGGTAAGATTCTGTCAAAATGTTTTACACTTAAACAGTTTCATGTAGAAAAGCAATTCCTTATAACTTATTGCTGGGAGGGTGCGCAGTGCTCCTTCTTATTGGGTGGAGAGGTGAAGTCACACTTGAGGATAAGCACCTTGTGTAGATGGAGTTAATATTGGAGCCTGAACTCACTTGTTTCTGGCTCCTAATCTTTTCCTCAGACCATCTGTCAGATGTTTGAGACCCAAGAGATAGGACCTCTCTATGCTTTTCAGAGTCAGTTGTTTAGATAACTATAGCAATTTCCTATTACACTAACTATGTAGAAAATAAAATACTGAAGAGAGCTGATTTTTTAAAAAGGAAAAAATGAAGTGTAAATGTATCTGCGACCAATACGTTTAAAGATATGTGATATCAGTGTTGCCTGACAGGGACTAAATGGTTCTCTGCAGGCTAGGAGAGAGCATTTTTGTCCCAAGACTATACACAGTGAGCATCGAAAAACCTAGTCCTTCCCGAAAAGTCCGGTGCTGCCCAGCAACCCCAGGGGATGTGGCTTCATTTTATTCTGAGAGCAGCTGGGAGTTGTGGCTCACCAGCCGTGATAGCCAGAGGAGGGTAGAAGGACATCATGCACCTTGTTCTAGCTCCTGGCAGCTGGCGTTATCAGCAGAGGAGAGGTTTGTCCTGTCTTCTTCTGCCTCAGAAGGCTAAATAGATGGCAGATGAAGATACAGAGCAATCATTGCCTTGGGGACTGTCAAGAGGGAAGGAAGAGGGGCTGAAGGAATAATTGGCGTATTAGCCTAACCATAGTGTATCTGTGTCTCTCCCTCCCAGGAGTGATTCTGTACATATTACTAGTGGGGGCAGAGGAGAGGTTTGTCCTGTCTTCTTCTGCCTCAGAAGGCTAAATAGATGGCAGATGAAGATACAGAGCAATCATTGCCTTGGGGACTGTCAAGAGGGAAGGAAGAGGGGCTGAAGGAATAATTGGCGTATTAGCCTAACCATAGTGTATCTGTGTCTCTCCCTCCCAGGAGTGATTCTGTACATATTACTAGTGGGGTACCCTCCCTTTTGGGATGAAGATCAGCACAAACTCTATCAGCAGATCAAAGCCGGAGCCTATGACGTAAGGGCGCTTTCTTGCTGAGTACCTGCATGGGTGTAGAAGCCATCCAAAACATGGCACTGTCCTACTTGGTGTCCCACAGCAGGCCCCAAGCTACTGTGCAATGTGATGTTTGGCGTGTTTGTACACCTCGTTGTCTTCACTGCCCGGGATACGGTCCTGTTTCAGGCTACTGAAAGGATATGTGGAAAGCATCGCAGTGGGCACCAAGACGTTGCTGGTCATTAGGGAAATGGAGAGCTGGAAATGCAGGTGGTGGGAAATGGTATCTTCTAGTGCATTTACCACAAAGTGCTGCAGAGGTAGCCAATGCTAACTCTTCCAGGGGAGCAGACAGAAGGTAGAATGAAGAAGCTTGTTTTTATCAAGGCCCAATTAAAAGTATGGGGAGGTATTCTGTAGCTTAAATTATGGCCTCTGATCTCCTCAGTGCCACAGTGGAATTTCTTCCAGCTGTGGAAAGTGTGGAGCCCAGTGAGGAGACTGAATGGCAGGGGTGTTTGGAGGGGTGGCTTTGTGGTGGGGATCAGCATGATGGGTTGGAGGTTCTGGTAAAAAGCCAGGCAGTTCATGGAATAGTTCTCAGAGCATGGCAAAAATGAGTTGTAAAAAGGTGCCTGAAGGAGAGGAGTGGCAAGGAAGTTAGTACTGGGGAGCAAAGGTGGTGTAAAATGTTGTTTGGGTACCACAGCTTGGATGTTTGACATAAATTCTTCCATTTAATGAGAGGCTCAGGACGGAAGAAGGAACTCCTGGAAATCCTAGTCAAAGCCTGTGGGCATGAATATAAAGAGGAAGTTGAGGAGTTCATTTTGTAGGCTGTCTTGTAGTTTGTATTAGAAAAAGAAAAAAAAGTGAGGGTTCTGCTGGACCCCAGTTACCTCCAAGGAAAGAGATGTCTTTGTACTTGATAGCCTGAACTGGACTCGTGTTCTTCTCTTGCCTTCCTGCCCCTCTTGTTTCTCTGTGTTGCTTTTTCTCATTTGAAGTCTTTTTGCACTAATTATATTGATGGGAATTTTCAAAGCACTTCAGGGGTTAAATGTCTAATTCTTTCTTAAAGTCATGAGGAGTGAAGTGCCTGATGTCTCCTATCTACCTGCTGTTTTTGAATTCTTACCTATAATGAAGAAGTTCCAGTAGATTCCTCCCCTGTTTTGCCTGGTAGAAAATAGTTCCAGTTTTACTGGTGTAGCTGCTGCGCCTGGTGTCCTTACCCCAGCACTGAGTATGCACTGGACTGCTCTGTTATCTCTTGACCACAGAGGAAGTGGCAACTGTGAAGTGGACTTTTTGTTGTTGAGTAGGGGGTTTTGCAAGGCATTACAGAATCACAGAATGGCAGGGGTTGG